TGGGATCCCTAAAGAGAAACAGACCTGCGGTGAGAGGGGATTGGGATTGGGATTTGGGATTGGGAATGTGGGATATGGGATCCCTAAAGAGAAACAGACCTGTGGTGAGAGGGGATTGGGATTGAGGATTTGGGATTGGGAATGTGGGATATGGGATCCCTAAAGGAGAAACAGACCTGTGGTGAGAGGGGATTGGGAATGGGAATGTGGGATTGGGAATGTGGGATTTGGGATCCCTAAAGAGAAACAGACCTGCAGTGAGAGGGGATTGGGATTTGGGATTGGGATATGGGATTCCTAAAGAGAAACAGACCTGTGGTGAGAGGGGATTGGGGATTTGGGACTGGGAATGTGGGACTGGGATTGGGAATGAGATCCCTAAAGAGAAACAGACCTGTGGTGAGAAGGGATTGTGGGATTGGGAATGTGGAACTGGAATCTCTGGTACTGCAATTGGAGCAATCCCCAGAATTGTGAGCCATCCCAATATTGGGAAAATCTGCAGCTTGGAGGTGAATTATTGAGTGGAGGAGCAAAACCCCCCAAAAAAACCCCGCCCAAACTCCATCAACCCTGCAACTCAACACCAGGACTGCTTTTCCAACCTTCCTTCCCCTAATTCCTGAATCCCAATCCCCTGGGAATGGGGGGGGGTCCTTAAGATGGGGATCTCTAGGATTGAGGGGAACTGGGATTAGAGGATCCTGGGGATTGGAGTGAGAACTGGGATTGGAGGGTCTGGGGATTGGGGTTGGAAGTGGGATGAGATCCTAGAGAAAATTCACAGTTTGGGGGGTGAATTATTGAGTGGAGGAGCCCCGTGAGGAGAAGAAACCCCCCCAAAAAACCCCGCCCAAACTCCATCAACCCTGCAACTCAGCACCAGGACTGCTTTTCCAACCTTCCTTCCCCTAATTCCTGAATCCCATTCCCCTGGGAATGGGGGGGGTCCTTAGGATGGGGATCTCTAGGATTGAGGGGAATTGGGATTGGAGTGAGAACTGGGATTGGAGGGTCTGGGGATTTGGGGCTGGAAGCGGGATGAGATCCCTGGAATCCTCAGACATTGCGACATCGAGAAAATTCACAGTTTGGGGGTGAATTATTGAGTGAAGGAGCCCCGTGAGGAGATGAAACCTCACCCAAACTGCATCAACCCTACAACTCAATACGGGGAGCACCCCCATCCCCAAATCCCCAAACCCCCAAATCCCCAAACGCCCCCGTTGCCCCCGCAGACATCCGCCTGCGCGTGCGCGCCGAGTACTGCCAGCACGACTCCGCCCTGCACGGCAACGTCTTCTCCAACAAGCAGGACCCTCTGGAGCGCCAATTCGAGCGCTTCAACCAGGCCAACACCATCCTGAAATCGCGGGATTTGGGCTCCATCATCTGCGACATCAAATTCTCGGAGCTCACCTACCTCGACGCCTTCTGGCGGGATTACATCAACGGCTCGCTGCTGGAGGCCCTCAAGGGCGTCTTCATCACGGACTCGCTCAAACAGGCCGTGGGCCACGAGGCCATCAAGCTGCTGGTCAACGTGGACGAGGAGGATTACGAGCTGGGCCGTCAGAAACTCCTCAGGAACTTGATGCTCCACACGGCTCCCTGAGGGATCCCAAGTTTTTTTTGTTGGTTTTTTTTGTTTTTTTTTGTTCCCGGGTTTTTTCCGTTTTTTTGTCCCTCGTCCCGACTCTTCCCGAGGTTTTGTTGGCGTAGAGCCCCGCTCATGGATTTGGGGAGGGTTGGAGGTGTGGGGTGTTCCGGGATTTTGGCGATTTTTGGGGTTCCTGATGGGTTCTCCTTGTGTTTTTTCCATGGGTTTTCCTTCCCCTTTTTTTTTTTTTTTTTTGTTTGTTTGGTTTTTTTGGTTTTTTTTCGTTCGTACCCATTAAAAACGGCGATGAAAAGGTGAAAAATCCCACTGGTGCAAGAACACTGGGATTTGGGGATGTGGAATATTCCAGAATTCCTCACTTTTCCCTGTCTATTCCTCCTTCTCCTTGTGTTTTCCATGTTTTCTCTCCCTGTTTTCTTTTCTTTTGTATCCATTAAAAATGGTGATGATGAAAAGGCAAAAATCCCGTTGGTTCGGCACAGTCAGAATTGGGGATTTCAGGAGTGGGAAGCCCTGGAATAATGGAACATTCTGGGTTGGAGGTGTGGGGTATTCCAGAATTCAGCAGTTTTTGGGGTTCCTGATGGGTTCTCCTTGTGTTTTCCATGGGTTTTCCTTCTCTTTTTTTTTTTTTTTTTTTTTTGGTACTCATTACAAACAGTGATAAAAAGGTGAAAATCCCACTGGTGCAAGAACACTGGGATTTGGGGATTGGGAGATTTGAGGTGTGGGAAACCCTGGAAAATCAGAATATTCCAGAATTCCTCACTTTTCCCTGTCAATTTCTCTTTTTCCTTGTGTTTTCCATGATTTTTTTCCTGTTTTCTGTTCTTTTGCACCCATTAAAACCCACGATGAAAAGGTGAAAATCCCATTGGTGCAACATGCTGGGATTTGGGGATTGGAGGTGTGGAAAGCACTGGAAAAACAGAATATTCCAGAATTCCTCACTTTTCCCTGGCAATTCCTTCTCCTCTTTGTGTTTTCCATGTTTTCTCCCTATTTTCTTTTCTTTTATATCCATTAAAAATGGTGATGAAAAGGCAAAAATCCCATTGGTGCAGCACAGTCGAAATTGGGGATTTCAGGTGTGGGAAGCATTGGGAAAATGGAATATTCCAGAATTCCTCACTTTTCCCCCATCAATTCTTCTTTCTCCTTGTGTTTTTCATCATTTTTTTTTCCTCTTTTGTACCCATTAAAAATGGCCAAAAAAGGGCAAAAATTTCATTTTAAGAACTTGAGGGATGCAATGGGATTTGGGGACTGGGGGTGTGGAATATTCCAGAATTCCTCATTTTGTCAAATTCCTCCTCCTTGTGTTTTCCATGGTTTCCCCTCTAGTTTTCTCCACTTTTATATCCATTAAAAACAAAAAGCAAATGGCAATTTCCCCCAAAATTCCCATTTTCCTCCCCCAAAAATCCATGGGTTCCCCCCAAAAAAATTCCCATTTCCCCCCAAACCCAACAGGGATGCAGTTTTTTCCCATTTTCCCTGTTTTTCCCCCCATTCTCACCCAGCATTTGGGGGATCCCAATCCCTCCCATCCCAAAATTCCTCCACACTTTGGGGTAATTTCCTGGGATTTTTGTATTTTTCAAATGTCAATAGAAGGAAATTCCTCCCCCCCCAAAAAAAACGGGGACACCCCAAAAAAAGGGGGTGAGGAGCACCGAGCTGCCCCATTTTGGGGAAGAAAGAACAGATTTGGGGCAGATTTGGGCAAAATCTGGAATTTGGGGTGCTGGTGTCACCCTCAGGGTGCCCTAAATGACCTCCAAAAATGGGGGAGACCCCAAAAAATGGGGGGAGCCCATAATAAGGGGGGGACACCTTGGGCTGTTCCTTTTTTGGGAACAAAAGTGCTGATTCAGTGCAAATTTGGGCTGAATTGGGGCTGATTTTGGGGTGAATTTGGGCTGAATTGGGGCTGATTTTGGGCAGATTCTGAACTGATTCAAAGCAGATTTGGGGCTGAAATTGGGACCCCCAAAAAGAGGGAGGGGACATTGTGCCATTTCATTTTAGGGACATGAAGGCAGATTTGGGGCTCATTCAGAGCTGGAATTGATGCAGATTTGGGATCCCAAAAAAAGAGTGGGGACCCCAAAAGGAGAGCAGGGAGGACACATTGTGCTATTTTATTCTGGGGGACAAAAGGGCAGATTTGGAGCAAATTTGGGGCCAATTTGGAGCTGAATTGATGCAGATTTGGGGCAGATTCGGGGCTGAAATTTTGGGACTCCAAAAAGAGGGAGGGGACACCTTGTGCCAGTTCATTATGGGGACAAAAAGGGCAGATTTGGGGCTGATTCAGAGCTGAATTGATTCAGATTTGGGGCTGATTTGTGACCCCAAAAAGAGGGAGGGGACATTGTGCCATTTCATTTTGGGGACAAAAAGGGCAGATTTGGGGCTGATTCTGAGCTTGAATCGATGCAGATTTGGGACCCTAAAAAAGAAAAAGAGGCGACACCTTGTGCCACTTCATTCTGGGGACACAAAAGCAAATCCGGTGCCAACTCCGAGTGGATTTTGGGTGGATTTGGAGCAGTTTGAGCCCAAACCCGGTGCCAGTCGGTGCCAGTCGGTGCCGGTCCCCCGGTGCCAGCTCAGGTGGCCGCTGTCCCCGGCAGGGTCCCGTAAATGTCCCCACGGCGGTGGCCGTGCACAGGCAGGTTCTGGCGCACCTGCTCCAGGTAGGCCAGGTCCAGCTGGGCCAGGCACAGCCCTGGGCCCTCCTGGCACTGGGCCACCACCGTGCCCCAGGGATCGGCCACCAGCGAGTGGCCAAAGGACGCCCGGCCCGGGTTGTGCCGCCCGGTCTGAGCCGCGGCCACCACGTAGCACTGGCACTCGATGGCACGGGCACGCAGCAGCACCTGCGGGGACAGCGGGGTCACCCAGGGGACATGGGGGACACGGGGGGCACGGGGACACCGAGGGGACATGGGGACAGTGGTGTCACCGAGGGGACATGGGGACAGTGGTGACACCGAGGGGACATGGGGACACAGGGGGCACGGGGACACCGAGGGGACACCGAGGGGACATGGGGGACACGGGGACACAGCAACACCTGTGAGTACAGCGGTGACACTGAGCAGACTGGGGGCCATGGGGACAGTGGTGACACTGAGGGGACAGAACTAGGGGACATGGGGGTCACGGGGACAGCGGTGACACCGAGGGGACATGGGGCCCATGGGGACAGCGGTGACACCGAGGGGAGAGAACTGGGGGGCATGGGGACACAGCAGTGACACTGAGGGGACATGGAGGGCACAAGGGGCATGGGGACATAGCAGCCCTCTTAGGGACCCTCCCGGGGTGTCCCCAAGCCCTCCCCGGTGTCCCCAAGCCCTCCCCGGTGTCCCCTCACCTCCCAGTGTGCAGCTCCGGTGGGGACGGTGAAGGCCGAGGGGAAGGTCAGGATTTGGGCACCGGCCCCGCGCAGAGCCTGGGCCAGCTCCGGGAAACGCAGGTCATAGCACACGGCCAGCCCCAGCTGCGGGGACATCGGGGTCAGGGGACAGCCCTGGGACAGCTGGGGACACCCTGGGGACAGCCCTGGGACATGGGGAGGTCAGGGCAGGGCCAGCTCTGGGTACCACGGGCTGTGGCACACGGCCAATTCCAGTGGTTTTCTGGGAATCCCGCGGCTCAGCGAGGCCAGGGAACACTTGGGGACACCTTGGGGACACTCAGGGACACCGGGGCCATCCCAGGCCTCGTGGCAGGGCCGTACCTTGCCCACAGGGGTGGCGATGGGTGGCAGCAGCTCCCGGCCCGGGTTGGTGAAGGAGCTCTCGCTCAGCGCCGGCGCCCCCGGCAGCGCCGCGTCAAACAGGTGAAGCTTCCGGTAGGCGGCCACCAGCGCACCTGGGGACACCGCGGGGATTGGGGACAGCTGGGGACAGCCAGGGACAGCTGGGGACAGCCAGGGACACCGCGGGGATTGGGGACAGCTGGGGACAGCCGGGGACACTGGGGGTTGGGGACAGCCAGGGGTTGGGAATGTTTCCGGTACTTGGCCACCACCGCTCCTGGGGACACCAGGGGGGACTGGGGACAGCTGGGGACAGCCAGAGGGGATTGGGGACAACCAGGGACACCAGGAGGCATTGGGGACAGTCAGGGACAACCAGGGGGGATTGGGGACATCCAGAGACAGCTGGGGACAGCCAGGGACACCAGGGGGATTGGGGACAGTTGGGGACACCAGGGACAGCCAGGAGGGATTGGGGACAGCCGGGGACATCCAGGGACAGCCAGGGGTTGGGAACGCTTCTGGTACACGGCCACCACCACTCCTGGGGACAGCCAGGGGGATTGGGGACAGCTGAGGACACTGGGGACAGCCAAGGGGGATTGGGGACAGCTGAGGACACTGGGGACAGCCAAGGGGGATTGGGGACACTGGGGACAGCCAGGGGTTGGGAATGTTTCTGGTACACAGCCACCACCGCTCCTGGGGACATGGCGGATTGGGGACAGCTGGGGACACAGGGACATCCAGAGGCTGGGAATGCCAGGGCCATGTGGGGGATTGGGATTCTTGGGGACACGAGGCAGGGACACAGGGACATCTGGAGGGTTGGGAATGTTGGGGACACACAGATCTGGAGGACACGGGGTGGTGGCACAAGGACTTTGGGAGGTTTGGGAATGTCAGGGACATGGAGAGTGGGGACATGGGGGTGACACAGGGGTGACAGGTGTCCCACCAGAGTTGTCCAGCAGCAGGTGACAGTTGTAAATCCGGCCCGTGCTGTCCCAGTCCTGGCCACGCTCGTGGAAACCCCCGAGGGACAGCCACACGTCACATTCCCTGGGGACACACAGGACACGAGGTGACATTCCCTGGGGACACACAGGACACGAGGTGACATTCCCTGGGGACACACACACGGCACACCCCGGCCCCATTCCTGGTCCCTGTCCCTGTCCAAGGGATGGGGGCGAGGACAAGGACAGCAACTGGGACAGGTGGGGACAAAAACAAGGACAGGGACAGAGACGGGAACAGGGACAAGAATTGGGATGGGGACAGGGACAGACAGGGCTGGAAACAGGCAGGGGGAAAAGGACAAGGGACAGGGACAAGGACAGGGAAACAGAGGGGATGGGGGACAGAAGGAGCTGGGAACAGAAGGTGGGTGAGGAACAGTGACAATGGTTGGGGACAAGGACAGGGATGGGGACAGGAACAGATGGGAATGAGGACACGGTTTGATAAGACTTTGGGGACAGGGACAGAGCTGAGGATGGCACTGGGGACAGAGACAGGACTGGAAACAAGGACAGGGCTGGGGAGAAGGACAGGAATGGGCTGGGAACAAGGACACAGCTCTGAACAGGTCCAGGTGTCCCCAGATCCTCCCAGTGTCCCCTCAGTGTCCACCCAGTGTTTGCAGGTGTCCCCTGGCACCCTCAGTGTCCCCAGGTGTCCCCTGGCACCCTCAGTGTCCCCTGGCGTCCTCAGATCTCCCCAGTGCCCCCAGATCCCCCCAGATGTCCCCTGGCACCCCTGGTGTCCCCGTACTTTGCCAGCTGGCAGCAGCACCCCATGATGACCCCGTGCAGTGTCCCCATGTCCCCGATGTCCCCACGCCCCCCGGTGTCCCCATGTCCCCGATGTCCCCAGTGTCCCCCGGTGTCCCCAGTGTCCCCCGGTGTCCCCACGTCCCCCGGTGTCCCCACGCCCCCCGGTGTCCCCAGTGTCCCCGTACTTTGCCAGCTGGCGGTAGCGCCCCACGATGTCCCCGTGCAGGGGCTCTGCCAGCTCCAGGCTCTGCCGGGGACTGTCCCCGATGAAGTCGAAGCCCTCGGGCAGGAACACGGCCCGGGCCCCGCGCTCTGCCGCCCGCCGCACCAGCGCCGAGCACTGCTGCCAATTGTGCTCCTTGTCCGCCGTGCTGGTCACCTGCACCACGGCCACCACCCCCCCTGGGGACACTGCTGGCGCTGGGGACAGCGACATGGCCCTGGGGCTGCGGGAGGGACGGTACGGGGGACATCAGGGGGACAGCGACATGGCCCTGGGGCTGTGGGGAGGGGACACCGTGGGGACTGGGACACCTCACAGGGCTGGGGGTCGCCCCATGGGACACCTCGAAAGGACTGGGGTCACCCCTTGGGGACAGGGACAACCCCAGGTGACCCCATGGGGACCTGAAGCCTCTTTCCCCCCATTCATTTGGGGTCACCCTCAGCCCCACCCTGGGGTTTTTGGGGTTCTCCACAGGGTATTTGGGGTCTCCCTGGCGTTTTTGGGGTTCCCCCGGTACCTGCTGGAGATGTGGGGGGCTCTCGAGGGTCTCGGGGGGCAGCACAGCAGGGCCCGGGGGGCCACCCTCAGCCTGGGAGGGAGACACCCCAAATTGGGGAGGGGTCACACGGCTGGGGGGGGACCTGGGAACCCCCCAGATTGCCCCTGAACCCCCAAAACCGCCCCAAATACCCCCCAGACTGCCCCAGGGGTGACCCCACTCTGCCCCCTGACCCCCCCAAACGTCCTCAGCTCCCCACAGCTGCCCCAATTTGGACCCCAGCCCCTCAAAAACTGCTCCTAGGACCCCCCAAACTGCCCCAAATTAGCCCCAAACTGCCCCAGTTTGGACCCCAAAGTACCCAACTCCCCTAAACTGCCTCTAGAACCTCTCAGCATCCCCCAAAACTGCCCAAATCGGATCCCAAACTATCCCCAGCCCCAAAACTGCATCCAGACCCCCCAAACACCCTCCAAACTCCCCCAAAACTGCCCCAATTTTGATCACAAAGTACCCCAGCTGCCTCAAAACTACCTCAAGACCCTCCAAACTCACCCCAATGCCCTGCGAACTGCCCCAAATCCCCCCAAAACTGCCCCAATTTGGACCCCAAACTATCCCCACACGCCCTTAACTGCCCCAACATTCCTCAATTGGCCCAAGAAGCTCCAGACACCCCCCAAACACCCCAAAACTGCCCCAATTCTGACCCCAAAGCACCCTCCCCTCCCCAAACTACCCCCAAACCGCACCCCTGTCACTCCCCACCCGTCCCCAGCCCCCCCAAATCCCAAATTCCCCGCACCTCCGCCCTCCCCCCATCCCCAAAGCCCCTCCTGCCCCGCAGTTTTTCCCCTTTTTCCCCGTTTTTCGCCTCGTTCCCGCACATTCCCCGCCGGAGGCAGCTCGGGCAAAGTCCCCCCCTCAGGCGCTGCCCTCACCCAAGATGGCGCCGTTCCCGCCTCACCCGGATCCAAGATGGCGGCCGGAAGTGACGGCACGGCGGCCGCGGCCGGAGCGGAAGAGGCGGTGCCTCGTGAGAAAAGATGGCGGAGCCGGTGAAGGGGCGAGGGGCGGCCCCGGCCGGGAAGGCGCTGAGCGCCGAGCAGGTAAGGGTGGAATAGGGAAATGGGGAGGGGTCTGCGAACGGGGAGGGGGCCCTGGGAGCTGAGGGGAGGCAGGAGAGTGAGGGTGAGGCGGGGGGAACCAGAGGGGCTGGGCCTGGGCGTGAGGGGAAGGTAGAGAGTGAGGGGGGGTCTGAGGGGCTGGGGAATAAGGGAGGGGTCCCTGATAATGAGGAGGGGTCTCTGATAATGAGGAGGGGTCTCTGTTAACGGCGGAGGGGTCCCTGGTAACGGGGAGGGAAAATGGAGGACGGGGGCCCTGGGCCTGAGGGAAAAGTGAGGAGTGAGGGAGGGTCCATGATAACGGGGAAGGGTCTCTGATAATGGTGAGGGGTCCCTGGTGACGGGGAGGGGTCTCTGATAATGGTGAGGGGTCCCTGATATCGAGGAGGGGTCCCTGGTAACGGGGAGGGAAAATGGAGGACGGGGGCTCTGGGCCTGAGAGGAAGGTGGAGAGTGAGGGGCAGTCCCTGATCCTTGAGGGGGTCTCTGATAACGGGGAGGGGTCCCTGATAAGGGGGAGTGGGGCTGGGACTGGGGTTGGGGAATGAGGGGGGGTCTCTGGGCCCGAGGTGGGGGGGCTGCTGTGGGGTTGGGGGATCCCCACTCCCATCCCAGGGGTCTCCCAGTGCCCCCAGTGGGATCCCACCCCCATCCCTGGGGGTCCCACCCCCATCCAGGGGATCCCACTTGTATCCCAGTCCAATCCCAGTTTATCCCAGTCTATTCTCAATTCCTCAATCCCAGTTTATCCCAATCCAATCCCAGTTTATCCCAGTCCAGTCCCAGTTTATCCCAGTCCAGTCCCAGTTTATCCCAGTCTATTCTCAATTCCCCAATTCCAGTTTATCCCAGTCCAGTCTCAGTTTATCCCAGTCTAGTCTCAATTCCCCAATTCCAGTTTATCCCAATCCAATCCGAGTTTATCCCAGTCCATTCCCAGTTCCCCAATCCCAGTTTATCCCAGTTCCCCAATGCTCGTTTATTGTAGTCCAATCCCGTTTTATCCCAGTCTAATCCTGGTTTATCCCAGTCCATCCCAGTCCATCCCAGTGCAATCCTGGTTTATCCCAGTCCATCCCAGTTGACCCAGTCCAATCCCAGTCCAATCCCAGTCCATCCCAGTTGACCCAATCCAATCCTGCTTTATCCCAGTCCATCCCAGTCCAATCCCAGTCCAATCCCAGTCCAATCCCAGTTTATCCCAGCCCAATCCCAGCCCAATCCCAGTCCATCCCAGTCCATCCCAGCCCAATCCCAGCCCAATCCCAGTCCATCCCAGCCCAATCCCAGTCCATCCCAGTTGACCCAGTCCATCCCACTGCAGGTCGTGTCCCGTTTTAACCGGCTCCGGCAGGACCAGCGCGGTTTGGCCTCCAAAGCAGCTGAGCTGGAGCTGGAGCTCAACGAGCACAGGTGGGCATGGGGCATTTGGGGTGGG